ATATATATATATATATATATATATATATATATATATATATATATAATGTGTGTGTATATTTTATTGGGGGTAAACCGATGTTGCAAAATGCTGGACAAGTTATAAAATATAAAACAAGTTAACAGTAGTGCAAAAAAATAAAAATAGACAGAAGTTTAACCCCATTGTCATTGTCTCAATCATCAGTAGAATAAAAGCCATTTGGATGTCAATGCATATAATCTTTGCATGTAATAGTGTGCAAGTGATTTGGGGCCTTACTTGCTGAGTAATCTTTGGAAGCCTCCATTTCGAGTTCAATAGGAGTGCTGTAAGGTAAAAGAAATAAGTATTATTGTAACATTCACCTGAATTTAACATTGGCACATTTGATGTTGTATTTATTCTTCATTACTTTTAAAGAATATCTGTAATTATGTCATTATTATATTGTAAATGGTACCTTCTATGCATAAGGAGATGCATCACTTTGAGTGATTTATAACAGCAATGTTTCTGTTCAGTCATTGCTTTAGCGAAAATGTTTTACCAAACTACCTAGATTTTTAAAATTAATTATTTCAAATCTGTAAACGTACATCTACATCAATGTACGCACATTGGTAGTTCTAAAATGTTGGTCCTGTGTCCACACCAGATAAATGATTGCACTGATCATGTTGCCATTTTTTAATTTTTTGTACATCAACTGTCATACTATACCTGATCTACACTATCATCACTCTTTGTTAAAACCAGGTCTCTCGTGTAAATGAGTCCCGGAGGCTCTTTGGGATTAACCTGCATAAATAAAGGTTGAATGAATGAACATCTATTCCCACTATGTAAAAGTGGATAATGGTAAAACAGTCAAAGGAAAAAAAAAAGTGTAACAGGCAATATTTTACTTTTGTTTTCAAACTCCTAAAATGAGCTTGTTGAATAAAGATTGAATGAACGAGGTGTAAGAAAATCACAATGTTAAATTATGTTTTTATTTTTAGCTTTTTGCGCTAAACTGGTATGTATAATCAGCAAGTAGCAGTACAAACAGTTTAAAAAAGTGCTTATATTTTATTTGTGATCTGGACACCAATAGAATATATGAAGATAGTTATGATGTTTACAGACATTATGAGCTGGTATTTGTTATGATATGACAGATTTATTTTTTTTATTACTATTATTCTTAGCAATGAATGGAAATAAAATGTGGTTCCATCTTTATGTTGATTCACTTATAATTTTATAGATGACTTATTAAAGTAAGAATATATATATATATATATATATATATATATATATATATATATATATAAGTGAAACTAACAGCTTTGAATAAGATTTCCTTGAAAAGCATATGTATTTATGTATGTATGTATTTATTTAAACTTTTGACTTAAACTTTCCTCTCCACATATTTTGTGTACTCTTTGACAGAGCCATCCACAGTTTCCCTCACAGTTTGAACTTTACTGATGTTCTCTTAAGAGGGAAGTTCTCGTGGCAACATATTTCAGATTCTTGATCTTGTTACATAAGATGCTTAGAATTTGGAAGTTAAAAGTAAAAAAAAAAAAGAGAAAATAAATACTAAGCTGAAATGAAAAAAAAAAAAAAAAATAGAAAAATAGTTCTAGTTGGCTTCAAGTACTTCCTCTATGCAAAACTATTTAGGCAAGGATGGAGGGAGGGGGGACTCTGTCTCCACCTCCATTTAAAGAAATAAACAAAATAAATAAATTTACCTATCATCCAGTGAGGGCTCAAGATGAAATGTACTGCTCTGTCCGGATGAGCATGTGACAGTCCAGGGAGACAGAAATCAGCTGTAATGATCTAGTTCAGGCAGCCAAAAGTTGAGGAGGAGCGCATCTGCTCAGTCCAACAGGTGACTGGCGCTGAGTGAAAGCCTCCCTCTTGTGCGCGTGGGCCCCCTGTCGAGTTTTCCACCTTAAAATCGACTCCGACGCCGTCCCATCGATGTCTACCCTCACCTAACTCAAACTCCCATTTGATTAGAAGTCAGTCAGCCTTCAACCGACGGCTGCACGTTTGTCTAGTTGGAACAAAGAGGGGGAAGACTCAACAAGTTGGTTAAGGGAAAGAAAGAGAGGGATGGATCAAACTGGATCCACCGGTTCCTAAGGAATTAGCCATAGCGACAGGGAGCAGCCAAGCTATTTTCAAAAAAAAAAACAAAAAAACAAGCCACTGGAAATCCGTGGGCAGGTAAATGCTGAAAGCCTCTGTGGAGCTGTGGCTCAAGGTCGATTCATTTAACTGCTGATGTACAGAAAGAGAATGTGATGAAGCCTCCCACAGAGCAGAGCTGTCCCATCACATAATACCTCCCCTCTTACCACCACATACACAAGCAACTATTCCTTTAAAGCCAAACAACGTGAATGCACATTTTATTGTGTCAAAAGTAAGAATGTGGGGATAAAAGTTTAAAAATAAATCGAGCACAGAGTGTATTTACCTGCAGACAAGCATCTCCTGAACTGTCAGCTGCACCGACAGGCCAAGTGCTTTTGTGGCAACGAGCTCAGCTTCTTAAGTGATTTTTTTTTTTTTTTTTTTTTTTTTTTTTTTTTTTTTTTTTTTT